TTAGAGTCAAAAAGGAGGATGGAGTACACTGTTCTTTGGGTAACTGCCCTTTTTCGAGTTGCTAAGGCATTACTGTATTTTATCATGTTTCTTAGTTTTCAGTTAAATCATAAACCACTACCCCATTTCCAAAAAACGTTAGAACACATAATGGAAAAAAAAAGAAAAAATTCATGTACCCAATTTTTATTCATAATAAATCACAGAAAACACACAACTTAGATATTTGAGTATTTCATTTTGAATGTGATGGCAGCCTCGTAAGAATTGTAACAGGCCCATGTTTACCGCTGTGTATCACAGTCCATAATGGTGCCTTTCCACATATGCAAGCTGCCAATTCCATAGATAATAATGCACCCCAATACCACCACAGGTGCAGTCTTTTGAACTGAGCGCTAATAATGAGCCAAATAGTGATGTCCATGTTTTTTGCCAATCAGCATATCCTCAGTAGAATTTATAGGATGCATCTGCAGGTAATGCCAACTTGTGACCAGTGTTGAGTGTACTGAAATCACATTACATTTTCAGGAATGTAGTAATGTAACACGTTACTGTACTAAATTCAGTAATTACATTACAGCTACAATCATGTTGTTACTTTTATTGCAAAAGTTCTTCAGCTATCTGCACGCTGGGTTGATAAAGAGGAAAACAAAACATCAAACAAACATGCTTTTTTCTAGTTAGCATGCTGCGGTCTAGAACTTTTCAGGATACTATTTTTATTTTTATTGCACAAAAGGACAAGAGCTCATGGTAAAGTATGCATTCGGGACAGAATTAACCAAATAATCTCTACTAAGTGTAGTCACCGAATGGGACCTCTCTACCATGATTGGTACAAAAATATGGTTTGCTTATGTTGCTTAGCACTAATTAGCAGGTACTTAATGAGTGACGTCATGTTGGCTGCATCCATCATACACTTCATTCACATGGCTGTAACATTGGTTGAACTCAACTCTGAACTTTTTGATGCACAGTTTTCATTATTGTGTTTCTGGCCATTCGATCAATTCTTGCTTCATTTTACGTTCTTAGTCACATCACCCAAGAGAAAATTTTCATTGATCGAGTCAGGCTGCGACTCTTGACGCTATGCAATCAATTTTCTCATCTCTGGGGCTACAACAGTGGCGCGAGCCACATGGGACACTTTGTACCTGTCACATCCCATATGTCTGCCAATTCATCTTTCTGTTGATACGATCATCTTGAGTCATAAAATATTATTCGTTCCCACTGCACATGTAAAGTATCTCTTATGTGATTACAATAAATAGAAGTCTGAGAAAACGGATGATGGCACTACTTTATAAGGAGCGTCTTATTTCCACTTTTCTTGTGAGTCTTTGATAGACAAACATGTACCCTGGAGGATTCTCTGAGCTCACTGTGTAAAAATTAAACATATTCTTCATTCTGCTCACAAACTCCCAACTCAGCTGGAGAGATTAAATTTCATGCTAAAAGAATAAGGGTGCACACAGGAAGGTAATTAATCACTTGTTTGTGGGCTTTCTTTGGCTCTCAGTGCGTTCTGGCCCCACTCAGAGACCCCTTCTCCAAAACCATCATGACATTTTTGTAATTACACCTTTTTTCCCCAGTGTAAAGCAGCTCGGCAGCTGTTGACAAACTGGAAAGGGGGGGGGGGAGGGTCAAACAGAAAGAGCACACTTATAAAAAGACTGAGCTTTAATGCATTTAATCCCACCAGTCACAGCAATGGCCATTACACCACAATTTTATTAAGTTTGTAAAAAATTTATTTTTTTATCAACTTGTCAACAACACATGACAGAAGTTATTTTGGCAATACACTTTAAAGTGAATCATAAAAGCAAAAGATTAGAACATAATGTTTCTGTATTGTTCAAATAGATATTTAGTATAGTCTAAGGGGGCACGCATCGCCTCAATCCTCAGCACACATTTTCTTTCCTAATTTTCTACAATGTTTGAATAGTGGGTGCTCATTTTAAAATGACCCAAGGTTCAAATAACAAAGGCAGTGAGGCCTGAAAGCTCACAATGAGAGCAGATGATGATCTTAAGCAAACAACCCTGGCTATAATCAGAGGCCCCGCCCACCTGCTGTTCATATCTCAGGTTTGCGAGTGGCAGCCAATAAGAAAAAAGTCAGCTTAAAACAAGAGTTGCCTTAAAGGGGTGGGTTGAAAAGATACAAATGTGGCAGGTGGGGTTCCTAAAACTACTCAATGAATTGTGTGTGTCCAGATATCTGGGAAAATTGCAGATTTATGTTGGTTATTTGCATTTTAGTTACCTAAGAGACGGTGCTGGCACCTCTTGCTGCAACAACTGGCACAGAATTCCCTTCATGTTCCATCTGTGAAGCTTACCAGCTGCATGTCAAAGCAGAAAATAATCCAGACGTGGCTTAGAACTATTATTGTTTTCCCACAAAAGTCTAGAATGCTAATTTCTTTTTCCACCCGAGGGACGTCTAAGGGGAAAAAAAAGTTCTGGAGCTAGAAATTAGCATAATGGGTCTGCCTTAAGTTGCTCATCTGTCACTGAAATAGTTTTGTCTTGGTATAATCTAAATATTACCTTCATGTCAATGCCACCGATGAATGTAAAGCCATGGCAAAAAAAAGAAAAAGTACACTATGACACTGTATCATTATTTATTTAACAAAAATTAAGCCAAAATACAGGACTGTGTGAAAACCCTAGTATACCCCCTCACTGCTTCCATTGGAGTTAGAGTATATGTAGCAGCCAGGTGTTAATAATAAAATGCAGTTGACTAAATGGTCATCAGCAAGTATGAGCACCTCTCTAAAAGCAGAACTATTAATGGTTTGCTGGTCTGCAGCATTCAGATGTGTGTTAGCACAATGCCAAGGAGAAAAGACATCATGATTCTGGAGAATAAAATATTGCTATTCATCAATTTGGTAAGGATTATAAGTCCATCATTCTCCAGTGAGAAAATTATTCACAAATAGAAACATTCAAAACAGCCACCAATCTTTCCAGGAGTGGACGTACAGAGGGTCAGAATAAAAGCTCAGAGAAATTACCCCCAAAAAACCCAAGATCTCCATCTCAAGCCTCATTTAGCATGTAAAATGTTGATGACATATAGTTAGACAAAGACTGAACAAATGTGGATTCTTGGGAAACATTTCCGGGAGAAAAGATTCTTCTGTCTAAAATGAATATGGTACCACAGCTTAGCTTAGTAAAGATGCAAACCACAATAAAACAAAGCACAAAGCATCTGGAACAATGTCCTCCTGACAGAGAAGACCAACATGGAGATGTTTGCTTTTGATTTTTGGCTTCAGCCAAATGTGGTACTGTGCATTACGGCCAAAGTATAGAATCAAATGGGAGGCCATCTGTCTAAAAACTAAAGCTTGGCCAAAATTGACATGCAGCATGACAATGACCTAAACACAGCAGCAAATCTACAACAGAATGGCTGGAGGAGAAAGAAATTAAGTTAATTTAAATGTAGCTTAATTTCCTTATCTGAATCATCGAGCATTTATCATGACTTTGGCAGGAATTTTAAAACCTGGTAACAACTAGATAATGTATGTCCTAATATGTAAAACCTTAGAATTTATAGAGGGTGTACTTGGTTTTGACCGTGACTGTAGCTTGCGGCTGTGACATGGAGAAATAGCATTGGAGTGTTATGTAACAGTTTGGACATATCACACTGATCAAACAAACTTGGATCCTGAAGAGGAGTTTTATCCTTGAAGGTCCCGGATAACAGAAAGAGCTAAAACAGCTATTCTCGGAATAAAGTGAGGGGCTGTTTCAAGGCACGGTGCTCGAGCAGTTTGATGTATGTGTCTAAGTACGAGGCCAATCCCAAAAGTAAGGCCTTCTATTTTTTTTATAAATACAAAAAACCGTTTATTTTCCATAATATTTAAATCATTTTAAAGTTTGAAGACTTATTTGTCTACATGCCATTTCGGTCGATGCATTGTTGTAGAAATTTTTGTAGGCAGTTTTACAATGCCCATGTCATACCTGCTCGCCGACGCCGCAGAATCGCCTTCCGAACAAATGTTCTTTCACCTTTGGGAACAGGTGGGAATAACTTAGTGCGAAGTCCGAACTGTAGGGTGGGTGGGTGATGAAGTTCCAAAGTTTTGCAGGAGAGCGACAGTTTGACGGACGACGTGTGGACGCGCGGGGTTGTGGAGAATGCTTGCACGCACAGTGCGCAACTGTGTTTGAGGAACGAAATTCTAATAGCTCCCTCATAAGTTGGAAGACTGTTTTGTGCAGTCAGACACATTCAACTGCAGAAAACAAATCAATCATCAATCAATAGATGCAGCTAATTGAATATCAATAGTTATGACCCCCATCAGGACCTACCTGAGGCACAGACAATTACCTGGCTAATTGTAAAAACCAAAGAGGACCACACAAAAGCAAAGCACATGTATTCAAACAGGCCTGCTCATTGAACATGCAAAATTATGCCTGGCCTAATTAATTTGCCATTAAGACTGGATTGATGTCGCCCTTCGCGATGCACACAACCAACCCATAATTGCCTCTGGTGTTGCATTCACAGGTTGGCCTCATTACCGAAACAGATGCTAATTCTGCGGAGCGGCTTCAGGTTGACAGGTGTGTGAGGTGTGTGCAGATCGTTCCACTCTGTCGGGCCAGGCGTAAAGTGAACCGAAGCAGGCAAAGTTGAGAACACATCATAATCGCATGCAGAGACATGCTCACGAGAACAAGGATTTTCTCTTTTTAGAGCATCTTTTAATGATAATGAATTTTAAATGGTAACAATTGGTGTGTAGGGAGCAAGAGTCTTAATGGCTCGGGAAAACAAACCCTGCAGCTGAATTATTTAGTTGTTCAACTAAACAATTTGTATTAGAGCTTCATAGTTTTTCCTTTTCCTCTGTTCATTAAGCTAACTGTTGACTAACTCCTTATAGATTTGTTTATGAAAAACACTCCATGACCAGAATTAGTGCAGCTGGTTCCCCAGAAGATGTTTATTCTTTTGGTGATTAACTCCATTAATATATTTAGTAAAAACAAAGAACTACAAAAGCCCCGCCTTCCACCATGAGTTCAGCGCTCTTGTCAGATTAACACTGGTGTGTTTCAGCACTTTGGCTCAGAGTCAATTTCTCTGCCAAAACAGCCTCACATCTTCTTTGTCCGTTTCTTGGGTCTCTGGTCAAAATCGTCAACCATCATGGAGTCGGGCGAATGGGAAGCATAGCTTCCATCAGATCCCACCCCTCCGGGTGAGGGCCCCATTACTCCTCCTGACTCACTCATGGTGGACATGGGCCCACCGTCCTCAAACACATCTCCGCCCAGGACCCCGTGGTGGTGGTGGTGATGATGATGGTGAGCCGAAGCTTGGCCTTCCTCGCCGTCCTGTGGCTCCACTTTTACCTGAGGCCACAGAGGGGAGTTGTTTGCCACACCTCCACCTTGGAAATGCATGAAACAAAGACGAATTAAGGAGCGAATTGGAATTTTTTTTTTAACCACTAAATGGGAAAATGGATTTAGTCACATTTATTTAAATAAACCTGCTGTAGCGAGAAACCTTGTCTTCAAGAGAAAGCTGAAGAAGCATGAGAGAAACCAGTTATGTATAACTTTTAAAATTACAGTCGATGCTTTGAAAACCTTAGTAAATGAAAATTACGACTAAACACAACAATCATTCGTTAAAGTATATGAATGTGGTTAATTCCATGCTGTCGCAGTTCTATAATATATATTAACTTCTCTTTGTGCTTGAAGTGACAATTAAGATTAATTAAGAATCCCCATTAATTAAGATTAATTTAAGAATTCCCATTACCAAACAAATAACATTGCTACAAACTACTATAAAGTTGCTAATGTTAAAAGGGAGTTCTTCCTCCCCACTATCTCAGAGTGCTTCTTATAGGGACTCATTAGGGTTCTCCCTCAAATATTGTCAAATCTTAGAACTGAGTTAAAGCTTACAGACAACACTGCAGTTGTAATTGAAAGAGGGTAATGCAACCACTGGGATCAGTAATGACCTGTTGTGGACACAAAGCATTTCAAACACTAAACTACTGAACTTGGAAATAACTACTAATCAGTCCGAGTGGTAGAAAACATTTGATTAGGATGATCTTACCTGAGGTATGAGGAGAATGATCTCCATCCAGCCCTGAAGCCAGCCTCTCAGCATTGGCACCAAGGACCCCCATTGGCAAAGCCTGGTCCCCGGAGGCCAAGTCAGCCTCAGGCTCCTCACTAACAGGGAAGGGAATGTCATTCATGGCCTCCACCTTGATCTTCGGGGACTTTGAGTCCTCAAGAGCTTTCTCTGGATTTACCAGTCGCTCGTATTCCTCTGATAGATCCTTACTGAGCTGTAGGAATAAGATATTTCTGTGGTAAAGTAGGAGTCTGGATGATGTAACTGTTAAGGGTTTTCTATGAAGTCATTCAGCTCTAAGTCAATGTAGAAAAAACATACAGTTAAACAGCCAGAGATATGAAACAGATTAGTATAAGACTTTGGAGGATGACAAATTGATGTTGTCTCATGTATTTATTTTTAATTTCTATTTTCTTTCCAGCCTTACCTGCAGCATGTAGCTGTGATAGTCCTTGATCCTCACTTGCCAGAATCGCTGCAAGGTCAGGACGCTGCCAATTCCCACCTCATGGAACACCTGCTCCACCACATCTGGGAAGGGACTGGCTCCAAGTCGAGCCTCCCTGTCCACTGCCACCCGCAGCAGGCGGGTTAGACGCAGGTAATGCTCGTGGACCAGATCCGTGAGCGTCTCCAGGACGCTTTCCTGAGCAGATTCGAAGCCAGCATGGGCCAGGACAGTCGCTACAGACTGATACAGTAGCTGCCTACAGGAGGGCCAACTCAGTTCTGTGACCTGTTCGCCTTTACCTCTAAAAACAGAAGAAGGAAGGAGATAAAGAATCATTGTTGACTAAGATTTATATGAGAAATGTGGAATACACAGAAATTTGGGATTTAGAGTCCTTCAGTGTCTAAATCTATTACTTCCTTCTCCCATCAGCTGATCATGATGGGAGGTGGTCATTGATTTCCCATGAAATTAATTTTTATAGATATAGAGGTACTGATTTAGAAAAGAGGACTGCAATCTGAAACTTACTTGTAAAAGTCACTTTCAGGGTCGCTGTGGCGGAGCTGAAAGGGCTGTCGGGGGGCTTTGCTATCCACAGGTAGCAGGTCATCTGGCATAACAGGTGGGGTGGGAGGGCATAACGGCAGGTTGGTATCAGCCTCGTCCAGCTTGCTGCCACCCTCGGAGGATGTTGAGCTCTGACCCTGAGATTGGGCTTGGGCTGCTGCCAGAAGACCTCGGAGACGGCGAACGTGCTGGCACAGCTGCACTGTGTGGATGGTGAGGCTGCACGGCTCAGAGGGGATATCAAGCATTGTGGTGGGCCGTGGCCGCTGTGCAGAGGGCTGGTGCAAGGGAGGGTCCTGCATCTCCACGGATCGAAACTCACGCTGGAGCAAGTCAAAGGAACTGCGACTGGGAGGAGCCCCCGCAGGCCCCGGGATCTCACCCCAGTAACGCATCATGACCACACAAGGAGAATATAGACTGCAGTTGAGACTAAAACAGAAAGGGGTATAGAAAATGTGAATAAGTTTTGAAAACATCAAGGCAACTATTGTTCATATTAATTTGTTCAGTATGAAACTGATTTTGTTTTAAATTCAAGCAATTTTATTCTTTGTTTTCCTGCATTACTGTCTGGTTTGGCTTTAAACCATGCATTAAAATGTGATTATTTCACTGAACAAAGTGTGCAGCTGCCAAAGGAACACACAGAGCTTTGCTGAATCAAAGCTACCCTTTTGTCAGGTATTTAGTTAAGGCAATGAGCCTCTCTTAACATAATTAACAGTAAACCTATAAGTATTTTAGGCTCGCATAAATTAAAACCTACTGTACAAAACAAATGATTGTCATCTTTTTCTGTTAAAACTCTTGTGATTTAGTTTGCTGGGACTTCAAAGCCTCTTTAGAGAGGGACCAAAACTGTTTTATTTCTCACCCTAACAGAAGTCTGTGAAGCTTCCTGCTATTTCTTGCAATGTTACAAGCATATGTGTAATTTAAACCCCACTGTAAAATGTAAATAAATAAAAATAAAGTTAGTTATTTACAAGAAAACCACTTGAACAATTCAATTTACGTTATCCTGATCCACTCTGCACCACCAGTTTTGCAATTAATTTAAATATTCTGCGAGGCCAATCACCCTCAATAATGTCCAGCTTTCGGGTTGTACTTAAATGCCTCTTGACAAAAAGGTCTCTAAATAAAACCGAGTCGTTAAATGTATACGACTCCGGTTAATTTTAGAGCAAATTACGCCAAATGTTGATCACAGGCGAACAAGTTGTGAAATACTGGTTTTGTGAAAAGCTGAAAACGCTAACACAACATTTAAAAGATCTGTTACAACTACATTGTTATCTCATGATCACTTTTCGTACATTTGACATACTTTAAGGGCAACATTTATGATAAACCAAGACAGCGTGGCTAGCAGCCTCTCCAAACTTAATAACGGATGAAAGAGCGGCAGGATACATGTCTATTCGCTATGCTTTTATATCCCGAAAAGAAGATCAAACTGCATTGGTTCCTTTAAAGTCTGAAGTCTATGATTAACAAAACCTGATGTTTTTCGAATGACAGAAAAACGCAAAATGTCTGTTGTCTGGCTGGAGTATAAAGCTGGGTTCCAGGACCTTTGCGGTTTGAGTTACTGATGCACTCGTTTATTTTAACTCAACGCCGAGCTACATATTTTAATGCATCACGGGCATGTTTATTAATGTAAATGAGGTTTAAAAAAAACACATTGCTGTTACCCTGGGATGGAGGAAACGTCTGCTGTTGATTGAATGTTGAAGAAAGCTTAACGGGAAACTAAGGGTTTTCGTCCTTGGAGGAAAAGAACTCGGGTAAATAGCTATGTTGAATGTTTAGTTCCACAACAAAAAGTTCGTTTTGAATTGTACAAATTAAAAAATATATTCATGTAATGTGGGACTGTTTAAGAATTTATAATATCCGACGGCTTTCCTTCGATTTACATAATTTATCAGATGTAGTTGTAAATTTTTAAAGGTTAAAGTACCCGGCCAAGTTTGAGAGCTGCACCAAATAAACATGGCTGCCTCCCCGCTAGCAGCAGACGTGATGGACACAGGCGACGAAATGAACTCTGTAATGGACTCTAATGAGCGTTTGGCACCAGAAAATGGAGAGGAAGCCGGAGAGAAAGACTCGGGTAAAACTAAACAACCAGAAGCGGAGGAGCCTTTCAAGAAACCGGCTCTTTTTGCGGCGCCTAGCTTCACCGCAAAACGCACCAACGTCACTGCTCCGTCCAAACCCATCACAGAAAATAAAGCTGATGGCGAAAGCAAAACCTCTGAAAAAGGCCAAGAAAAGGACAAAAAGTCCGAAAAGGACAAAACCAAACCAGAAGCTAAACCTCGAGCGCTCACTACTAAAGCCCCCCAAGTTGGCAAATTACCCCCTCTCCCTTACACAGAGCCTCCCTGGGGTGGCACTGCTTCGGATACCCCGTACGCTCTTGAAATCCTAAAAAATGGCACCATAGTGGATCAGGTGCCATTAGTGGACAAGAGCTACTTTGTGGTTGGACGTTTACCTGTGTGCGATCTCTCCCTGGAGCACCCCTCGATCTCCAGGTACCACGCAGTGATTCAATACCGTGGAGAGGCCGGGGAGGACGCGGGCTGCATGGGAGAAGAGAAGGGCTTCTACATCTACGACTTGAGCAGCACGCACGGCACTGTGGTGAACAAGAACAAGATCCCACCGAAAACTTACATCAGAGTCCGCGTGGGGCACGTGTTGAAGTTTGGAGGAAGCACGAGGCTTTTTATCCTGCAGGTAATGTCTGTTGTGGTGATAAACGATGACAGGGAGGGTCTCTAAAAGGTCTTGATTTTAGCTGTTTGACACAGTGCTAATCTTGCCTGGTTGGGCTGATCAAGTTCTCTTATGGATTCCTTGCAGCTACACAAAAATGTTTCTCTGTAGAATAAACACGAATTCAGTTAATCATGCCTGTGCATTATTAAACAGCTTTGAATGATACTTTTTATGCTTTACTCTTGGACTCTTCTAGTGTAACTTTGCGTGGTTCACACTTCAAAATAATCCACATTTTTCCCATACTGGGCCTTTGTGCTGCTCCCTGGTTCATCCTCTGTTTGCAGTATGCAGTTTTAGCTTCTCACTCATTAAGGAAATTGTATTGTGATTGGCTATGGCATTTAAGCAGAACATTTGAGCAGCAGATGGGTGCGGCTTCTGTGTGCCTAAGTATAACTATGGCATCATACAGATTAAAGTGTTGGGGAAAACTGTAAGAAATGCCATGTTTAGAGCTTTCAGCTTACACAAATTATCTACACACTAGCATTTCAGTCTTTGGTCACATTTAACATGATAAGCCACAACTGAAACAGGATATATATGACGGAAAATACAAAAAAGACAAGAGGTCTACTTTAATATAGAGGCAATATTCTTCATATGTACCAGCAGTATGATAGTTACTTTAAAAAAGGCAGAATAACGTGGCTGCTATTTGCCACAATATATAATAATACTTAGTAAGTGGTGTGAAAACACTACTTGTCATACCACCATATGTTACTCTACAGGTACCACACACATCAGTTACCGCAAGCATCTTTTACCGCATCATTCTTTACTTTTAGAAGGTTACATCAGCGTGTATCTGACATGATACAAGAAAGATATTAAGCTGTTAACCAATTAATCATTAAAAATATATTATCCATCATATAAAGCACTCCCAGATTGTGAGTGCAGTTTTTAGCCAGCCTTTTACATCAGGGATGTTTTGGGTGCATAAATTTGGAAAAGGCATTCAACTTCATACCTCAGGGCAGTCCTTTGGTCAATGTTTTCGGAGCATGACCCTTTATTATGAGTTATTCAGTCCCTGTACTACTGCATGTACACCTGGTTAGCATTGACTGCACTAAGTTAGACTCATGAGAGTCCCAGGGCTGCACTTTATCAATGATTCTTTCCATAACTCTTATGGACTTAATTTTTAAATACAGCCAGAAGGTGGAGGGTGGCTGGTGGCCTTAGAATCACAACTTTCCTTTTGTGAATGATGTCTGCTGGCTTTACCGAGCAGTGAAATCCAGATTGTGCTGGGTATGATAAGTTCAGTTATCTTGGGGTCTTTCTACACTGGCAAGAGATGGGATGAGAGAATAGACTGGTGCTGCTCAACATCAAAAAGAGCCAAAAGACGTGTAAAGCTGCTCCTGTATGTGTGCTTGCTGAGGTGTTTCTGGGCATGTCCATTTGGGAGGCGATTCAGGACAGACTAGAGAGAACATTTCTTTTAACTGGCTTGAAATGCCATGCTGTGTTTCTAGAAGAGCTGGGAGAGAGAAGCTTGTGTGTTATGCAAAGAAAAAGAATCATCCATCAATCAAAATTACAAACATTCAGTACTGTAACTGATTTCTTCTTCATGTACCAGAAAAATGTTTTATGCATGTAAGATTTTCAGGTGTGAAGGGATATATTTTAAAAAGAGTAACATTTGAGTGTTGAGCTTCATTTTCTTTTTGCAGGGTCCAGAGTTTGATGAGGAAGACGAGTCTGAACTGACAGTGACAGAGTTGAGGGAAAAAGCTCGCAAACAGAAGGAAGAGCTGGAGAGGAGGATGATGGGAGATGGTTCTGATGAGGAAAAAGAAGAAAAGGAGGAGGATGAAAACAGGGACGATGGCAGAGTGTCAAATGAAGACTCTGGCTGTTCGTGGGGAATGGGTGAGTGTGTCACTGCTGTTGCTGGATAAAGCTGGAGTGTGTTACGTGTCATTTGGTTTGATACATGATTTCAGTGTTTTGGGTCTTTCTCTTACCTTTCACATTACCTCTGCACAAATCCTCCCTGCAGTCGAAGAAGCAGCTCCAGAGGAAGACGAGAACGAGGAAAACCCCTTTTCAACAGAATTCCACGAAGACCAGGAAGCAGCCTACCTGAAGGACCCCAAGAAGGCTTTGCAGGGCTTTTATGACAGAGAAGGTGAGAAGAAGTATTGCAGGGCATTAAAAGACTGAAATTAAAATCAAGGAAATTAAGGTCTGTACGTATTTGCTGGAAAAAAAATCAGTTACTCCAAAAGGTCGAGGGTTATTTTGGGCAAGTTGGCCTAAGATAGTTAAAAACCATACATCAAAATGAAGGGTCCAAATTCTTTGTTTTTTATGACCAACAGCTGAAAATCCAAAAGAAACTTTACTGTCTCATGAGATTAAAGAATGGTTAAATACTCTCAGTTGTAGAGGTTAAAGAATATACTAACTAGCAGTTAACTAGAACTCACAGACAGCAGATTCTGCTTTTTTTTTCACTGAACTTCTTTGCTTGTCTTCTGTAGGGGAGGAGCTGGAGTTTGAGTATGAGGACAAGAACCACGGCACCTGGCTTTGTAGAATAAAGTAAGGGGAATAAATTCTTTTGTTTTTTTTCCAGGCAGGCTGTGAAGTGTTTATTGAGCTGTATGTGCTGACTGTTAATTTTTTATTTATTTTTTTAAAAACAGGCTGCCGGTGGACGACGCTATGGGTCGTCAGCTGGTTGCAGAGGTGACCCACACAGGAAAGAAGAAAGAAGCTGCCATCCAGTGCTGTCTTGAGGCGTGTCGCATGCTGGAAGCCAGAGGGCTGCTGCGCCAGGAAGCAGGTTTGTGTGCTCAGTCCCGTGTTGAGAGGACTGGAAGTTGTGTTGGAAAATTCATTAAGAGTTTCTGCATCTGATTTTCAGTGTCCCGTAAGCGCAAGAAGAAGAACTGGGAAGACGATGACTACTATGACAGCGATGATGACACCTTCCTGGATAGAACCGGCACAGTGGAGAGGAAAAGGCAGGAACGAATGAAGAAAGCGGGAAAGCTCGAGGAGCGGCCCGAGACCTATGACTCACTGGTAAACATCTGCATAGTTTTATAAATGACAGGAGCGTAAAAACAACAGACAACAGTGAGAGCATCAACTGGGTACTGTCTTTCAGGCTGTTTTCTGAAAGTTTTAAGGGCTCCACTGTCTGTAAGGGGACCTATTCTGTAAATTTCCAGCTCCATATTTATATGCTGGGCCATGGTGCCGCCCCTCAGTTCATCCTGTCTAACTTCAAAGAAGTTTACTCATGTAGTATGTCCAGGACTTGTCTGTCTGCAAACTGAGAAGGAGATTTTATACCTGACAGACAAATCAAGAGCATTTAAAGCATCATCAGCCATTAAAACACATCTAAAGAAAGAAGCGATTTTCTGCACGTGTCCATAACTGTTGATTATTTTTCTGTAGGTGGCCAAACTGGAAGAGGTGGAGAAGGAGTTGGCAGAGACTCAGAAAAAGCTCAGTGCTGGAAAAGGAGGTGAGCTGTGATCACCTGTTCACACTTCTACAGACTTTAAAAGGTCCAGTCTGTAACTTTTCACTCCTATCAGAGTCTTTGACGTCATCGACTGAGGACTCGCTGGAGGCCTTCATGACCGCAGTGAAAAGCGAGGTAGCGATGGACGCGGTGGAGCGCAGGAAGCTTCACGTGCACATGGCCGACTTGCGGAAAGATGCTCAGAGGCTCCGCAAACTGGTTGAACTCACGAGGCCGGCGCAGATGCCCTCCTTGCTGCCCGGGTCAGACAAAGCAGCAGTTTTTAACCTAAAAGTTATCCTATGAATGTGTCAGATTGAAGTTGATATTTTGATCTGTCTTGATTTGATAGCAGCTCAGAGCAGAAGTCGAAAAAGACCCTGCCGATGTTTGGAGCCATGAAGGGAGGGAGCAAATTCAAACTGAAAACTGGTACTATTGGGGTATGTGCTTTTTGACATGCTTGCATTTCCACTGAAGTTGGTGCTTTTAAGTTGTAACTTTA